TATTTAATAATATAAAATAGATATGTATATTAAAATTATCATATTGAACTATTATAAAAAAAACGTTGACATAATAATTACAATTCTGACTACTGTCTCCGCTTCTATATTGTGTTCTTTTCAGGGAACCACGGGTAAACCCAAGGCAGCAACACTTTCTCATTTCAATTTCATCAACAATGCGGTTGTCCTTAGCAACCGAGTTATAATACCAGGAGTGGTAAGTATTGTTGTAAACTACACCTTCACAACCGTGGTTTGTTTGGTCCTTTATCGATCAAGGGTTGGACAACCATGGTTTTGAACTGTATTGTTACAATATATATATCCATTAACTAGATGTTCTGGTAATATATTAGTGAGATTATATGTGAAATGATTAAATTTGTTTTTGTTGAAGTTAACCGTACATTTCATGTGTCTGAAAATATCACGTAATCGTTACTGATATTATCACAATTAGTTTCTGAATAATATGTCAGCTTCAACACACGTTTAGTTGAAAGTTCTATGTGGACCACAACGTTTCTAGTATAATGTCACGTTAGATACATACTAAGCTACCAAACTTAGTCACAAGGAGTCATGTAGCAGTAACAGTTATATTTTGGTTTCGTTTCAGAAACCGGTGGATTGTGTTCCCATACCATTGTTTCATGCATTCGGTTGTGTCGGCGGTGTTATTGCAACTATTATTCACCGGAAACTGGCGGTGTTTCCTTCGCCTTTTTTCGACCCTCTGGCGACGTTGAAAGCTATCGAAAAAGAAAGGTAAAGTCCATAAATAAACTATCTTTCATTGATCATCTACACAGACTGTTAACAATGAAATATCCTCCATACATGTGATTAGTGACATCTTAATACCTTTAACATACGATACAAAAAAGGTAAATCATCTGTAAATGTTATCTTATCTTCCTATTAAATTTCTGGTAATGCTAGAAATGCCCATTCTTAGTCAAACTGTCTTAAAATGTTTTCAATCTGTGTTTCTTTTATAGGCTGGCTATCTAGCCTTAATATATATTATTATCAAGATGGAGACTTTGGGTTGTTATCATTAAGTGTTGTTCAGTTTTGTAATCTCTGTTGTTCTAGTTTAGATCTCTCTCCCTTCTTTTCTCCATTATTCATATTGTTATTAGAATTGGTTGATCCATTGTTTTCAACAATGTTTAACTTTTTAACAAATCTTCTCACCCACTTTTTACTAACAATTCTAACTTTCGACTAGGTTTACTATTGCCATGGAAACACAGATTCTATACACAAATAACGTGTATTGACATTTCTGACGCCATGGGAATGCCCACTCAGGTGCATTATCATGACAACTGTTCTTTGACAGAGAATCTTCATCCACTTTCATTACTTTTCTTCACAGAAGTTTCTCTACATGTTTAAATAGAATCATCAACAGGGAAACCTTTTCATCATCATCAACAGGGAAACTTTCTTATCATCAGCAACAGGGAAACCCTTCTAATCATCAGCATCATCATCAACAGGGAAACTTTCTTATCATCAGCAACAGGGAAACCCTTTAATCATCATCAACAGGGAAGTCTTTTTATCACAGACTTTCAACTCTCTTTATGAGAACACCCACTTTTTATCATTCATTCTTGTCTATTGGCTAAACGATGTCAACATGACAACACCTATTTTTTATCATTCATTCTTGTCTTCTGGCTAGATGTCAACATGACAACACCTATTTTTTATCATTCATTCTTGTCTTCTGGCTAGATGTCAACATGACAAAACCTATTTTTTATCATTCATTCTTGTCTTGTTAGATTTCATCATTAAAACACTTTTTAACAGAAGTTGTTATCTTATTTATAGATGCTCTCTTGTTATGGGAACGCCCACCATGTTTATTGACATTGTTAATCACCCGGATGTTAATAAGTTTGATCTAACCAGTCTCCAAGGTGGTAAGTGAATAATTAGTGTTTTTTATTAAATTTTATTTGTAATAGACGCGAGATGGCACTGGGGTGTAGCTTTTGATTTTGGAACTGAGGGCAAGAATCTTATGTGGTCCTACCACAAAATATTCCCCTCATTTTGAATTGTGGGTGTGTGATTAGAATGACAGTTAATCACTAAGTACGGAGGTTTAATGGTAGGGTTTTCTAACTGGCTGCCTTCACTCTGTTCTGTAGTCTTCAGTAGTTTTACCATGAATACAAATTCATTTATAATTTTAAAATGAGTTTCTTCATTGAAAAAAGTCACAATTCTAGTACATTTGTTTTAAAAAATTCTTAACTTTGACACTTTGAGTCTTCCAAACAACCATTCTCCTTATTTCATTGTAACAGTTCTAGACAAGTTTTAATAACCCTGGAAAACATTTAATATTCAAACTCTATGATAATCTTATTGTGTAATTACTTACAGTTTATTAGTTACTTGTAACAACTTTATTATTTTTAGCAATTATTGGGGCAGCTCCATGTCCGGTAGAGCTGTGCAAGGAGATAGAACAAAAGTTGGGCGTAACAAACATCATTGTAAGTTTTAAACTCTTCATAGAAAATGTTTTAACGCTTTGGTCACTAATGAAACAGTTTTATAAAAGGTTTAATTAAGCTATACTTAGAATGTTAAAATCAAGTAGTAATTATTGAAGTCTGATAAATCACTTACTATGAATTTTTAAACAGTATTCTATATTAAAACTGTAAAACGACAATAGTTATTGTTAGTCATCGTGAAGGAGAGAGGATTTTATAAACAGAATTTCATTTTCACATAAACAATGTTATAAAGTAAAAATTAAAACTGAAACACAAAACTAAACCAAATAATATAAAGTTATTCTTCTTTCTTTCTGCTGTATGATTACACTATCTCCATTTTTAGGATGTATATCGCTGGACGTAAAACTCACGATTTAATAACTTAGAAGCATCATAATATTGTAAAGGAATATAAAAATGTAACAATATAAAATAATACTAGATGTTGAAAGTAAGGTAATGGTAAAGAATATGAAACAACAAAGAAACAATGTTGGAAGAAGATAACAAATACATGGTAGTCATGAAACAATATATAACAATGTTGAAAGAAGATAACAAACTTGGTAGTCATGAAACAATATAAAACAATGTTGGAATAAGATAACAAACACTTGGTAGTCATGAAAAAATATAAAACAATGTTGAAAGAAAATAGTAAACACTTGGTAGTCACGAAACAATAACATAGTTTTATATTGTTTCGTGACTACCAAGTGTTTGTTATCTTATTCCAACATTGCTTTATATTTTGTTCATGGCTACCAAGTGTTTGTTATCTTATTCCAACATTGTTTTATATTTTTTCATGACTACCAAGTATTTGTTATCTTCTTTCAACATTGTTTTATATTTTTTCATGGCTACCAAGTGTTTGTTATCTTATTCCAACATTGTTTTATATTGTTTCATGACAACCAAGTGTTTGTTATCGTATTTCAACATTGGTATATGAAAGAAGATAACAAACACTCGGTAGTCATGAAACAATATATAACAATGTTGAAAGAACGATAACAAACACTTGGTAGTCATGAAACAATATAAAACAATGTTGAAAGAAGATGAGAAGCTCCCAGTAAAGAATATGTTATAATATAAAACAATACATTGATAAAAAAACAAAACAAAGTGGAATAAAGAATAGCAAGCGTTTAGATTTTTCGGTCGTTATCACATTATTTCCTGTTAACAAGATAAACAACTAATACAAAAATGCCAATCGTCGTGAAAGTAAAGATAAATATCATTCTGTTTTTGTTAACAATCTAAGATATTTTGTTAGTATTTTACATGCTAATTCTGGTTGTTAATTTTTTTATAATATGTTGTTAATATCTTACATGCTAATTCTGGTTGTTAACTTTATTATAATATGTTGTTAATATTTTACATGCTAATTCTGGTTGTTAAGTTTATTATAACATTTTTTATTATTTTACATGCTAATTCTGGTTGTTTGATTGTTATGAATTTCGTGCAAAGCTACATGAGGGCTATCTGCACTAGCCGTCCCTAATTTAGCAGTGTAAGGCTAGAGGAAAGGCAGCTAGTCAACCGCCAACTCTTGGGCTACTCTTTTAGCAACAAATAGTGGGATAGACCCTCACATTATAATCCCCCAATCGCTGAAAGAGCAAGCATGTTTGATGTGATGGGGATTCGAACCTGCAACATACAGATTGCGAGTCGAGCACCCTAACCAACTGCTAATTCTGCTAATTTACATGCTAATTCTGGTTGTTAACTCTTCAATAATATTTTGTTAATATTTTACATGCTAATTCTGGTTGTTAACTTCTTAATAATATTTTGTTAATATTTTACATGCTAATTCTGGATGTGAACTTTATTATATTATTTTGTTAATATTTTACATGCTAATTCTGGATGTGAACTTTATTATATTATTTTGTTAATATTTTACATGCTAATTCTGGATGTGAACTTTATTATATTATTTTGTTAATATTTTACATGCTAATTCTGGGTGTGAACTTTATTATATTATTTTGTTAATATTTTACATGCTAATTCTGGTTGTTAACTTTATTATGATATTATAATAATGAACAAGTTTAAACACTGATGATCTTTCTGGATTTTCATCCTGATCCAGATGATTTAAAGAAAGTATTAATTCAACAAAATACATTAATGTATTGTATCTGCCACTAAGAGAGGTAAACTAAATAAATCTGTCTATTCAAGGGACCCTCACAGAATCTACGTACATACACGTTCTGACATGAACTCCAAGCAGCCGGAGTACATGGTTTTTGAGTGCTAAGAAGTTTAGGGCTTCACTTAGTGTTAACTTGTAACTGGAAGATGTGTGTTATCAATAATCGGCCTAACTAGGAGAAGAAAGTAGTAATCATTTTGTTTTTACTTTCAATTTGAACGATTTCTAGGAATACATTGTCAGAGAAATTACCAGTATCTTTTATTCTCCACAGAATGCCTATGGATCAACAGAAAATAGTCCAGGAAGCTGTTCAACACGTCCAGGAGAAAGACAGGACAAGAAATACCACACAGTTGGGACCCCACTTGACCATGTTGAGGTAACTATACAGTATTACTACACATGCTAAGGCTACAATCAGTGTGTTATGTACTTTGATCATGTCATGGTGTATCACAAACTAAACATGCTAAGGTTCTAATCAATGTGCTATGTACTTTGATCATGTCAAGGTGTACCGTACACTAAACATGCTAAGATTCTTGTAAATTTGTTATGTACTTTGATCATATCAAATCTCGGCTTCCAATGTCAGGTATACCTGTTCAGTTACTCACCTGTATAACCAAAACACAATAAATAAAAACTTCACTATAGTTAGTGTTCAGATGTTCATGGTATACGTGTCCTGTTTTTTGTTGTTGTTTTTTTTTTCAAATCTATACATTTATCCTTTGTCCTCAGGTGAAAATAGTGGACAAGGATGGACGAATAGTTCCGGTCAACAAAGAAGGAGAACTGTGCACACGTGGTCATATAACGTTCTTGGGATACTGGGGTGATAAGGAAAAAACTAAGGAAGTCCTGAATGATGCACGTTGGTATCACACTGGGTAGGACATAACTACAATTAGTCCACTTGATGTCCACTCGGATCCTTCAACTTTCTTCTTGTAACCTATTGTGTTTGTAACTGTTATTACTGGCTAGGAACTGTTGTTTTTACTGACCAGACACTAGTGTTATTACCAGCTAGGAACTGTTGTTTTTACTGACCAGACACTAGTGTTATTACCGGCTAGAAACTGTTGCTGTTACTGACCAGACACTATTGTTATTATCAGCTAGGAACTGTTGTTTTTACTGACCAGACACTATTGTTATTACCGGCTAGGAACTGTTGTTGCTACTGATAAGACACTACTGTTATTACCAGCTAGGAACTGTTGTTACTGATGAGACACTACTGTTATTACTGACTAGGAACTGTTGTTCTTACTGACCATACACTACTGTTATTACTCCAGTAATGGTTGCTTCGAGATACGTTCACTTATAAAGTTATAGGCCTAGCCTCACAAATAACGTTAAACAGAAATTCCGTGTCTAGTGGTTCATATGCCTAATTTACTTATAAACATACTTGCATAATTTCTTCGTTAATCGGCAGTTAACAGACAAATTAACCGACTAATTGAATTACAGATAAATAGACGTAATAACACTCACTATCTAACTCACTGAACTGACTCTGTATTTTTATTTTGATGTAGCACTTGAAGTATCTAGGTTATGACGTAATGACAACTCCCTCTAACAATGAAACATCTAAATTAAACATTGAAATTATAGCTTACAACAATATTAATAACTCGACATTTACAATATATATCTCAAAAACATTGTCGTGATAGACGAAGGTGTTAATTTTTTTATATGAGAGACAATTGACCGTCATGTTCCTGTATATTTATAATCCAATGTTTACAATACGACACAGAGATATTGCTGTGATGGATGAAGATGGCTACGTCAGCATTATTGGTAGAATTAAAGATATGATCATTAGAGGAGGCGAGAACATCTATCCTCGGGAAGTGGAAGAGTTCCTCCATGGGCATCCAGATGTCGCTGAAGCTCAGGTACTTTTGTCAGAAGGGCTTGTTCTTTTCAAATTTTATTTTTTGTCATTTAATAATATGGCCTTAAACCTTTTAATGTCGTCGAAGCAATGAAACCAGTAAGCCTAATAATAGTCATAAACATTTGTTCTTCCTCATTCCTCGTAATTTGTAAGTTGCAAATTTGAAATTAAAGTCGTATAAAGACAGTACTATTTTTATCTGTCACATTTCCGTGTTTAGGAGACTTTTCGTTATATACCACTTAATAATATTACCATTTCTTGTCCCCGAGTTGGTTGAAAATAAAAAACAAAAAGTATTAATAAGAACGAAGTTTGCAGTTTCTGGTAATTTTTTCAGAAATATTAAGCCTAATGGATCCCAATGCTTTCGGTGTTCATTCACATCGTTATTTCACCTTTTTATTGACTCATTAGCATGTTTATTTCTCATGTATAGGATAAGTTTAAATGTTACATGTACCATGTTGTTAAACGTAGCATGTTGATCTGATAGGATACGTAATATTTATATTGAGAAATCTTTTATTGTAGGTTGTTGGAGTGCCAGACCCACGAATGGGAGAAGAAGCTTGTGCTTGGGTGAAACTAAAAGGTGGATCCACTTTAAGAGAAACGGAACTTCGGGATTATTGCAAGGGAAATGTTAGTATTGTGTTTATATAACACCAGTTGAGTACAGTGTTAATATGATATCAGCTGAGTACGGAATTTACAATCACTTGAGCTAAATTTCGTGTTAACATCACAACAGATAATGACCAGACACTGTTAATATGACATCAGTTTCGTATTGTTTTAATATCTCATCAACGAAATACGGTATTAATATCACACCAGCTGATTATAGTGTTAATATGACATTGGACGAGTACAGTGTTAATATCACTTTAAATGAGTACGGTGCTAATATCACATCAACTGAATATAGAAAGCGAATAACACATAGCATTATACGATCAGTTACTAAGTGTTCAGTTACTAAGTGTTCGTTGGGTGGGGCACAGCGAAAGAGATTTTACTGGTCTAAAAATGGATTATATTTTGGTTGCTAACGTTCCTGGTTTCGATGTGGTTTGAATGGTGCTTGTATAAATCCCAGGTTGTGATGGACAAGGTAGTCCTAGCATGACACTGATAAAAAGGGTATGATACTTCTACATCATACATACATCAACAACAGTTAGCTGTCACCTCGACAGTGTTACTCAGCCACTACAACACACTAGGAGAAGATGACCTTTTAGTTAATAAGTTTCATTTATTAGGCTGGTGATGACAACGTTTCACTAACATACATCAACAACAGTTAGCTGTCACCTCGACAGTGTTACTCAACCACTACAACACACTAGGAGAAGATGACCTTTTAGTTAATAAGTTTCATTTATTAGACTGGTGATGACAACGTTTCACTAACACACATCAACAACAGTTAGCTGTCACCTCGACAGTGTTACTCAACCAACACAACACACTAGGAGAAGATGACCTTTTAGTTAATAAGTTTCATTTATTAGGCTGGTGATGACAACGTTTCACTAACACACATCAACAACAGTTAGTTGTCACCTCGACAGTGTTACTCAACCAATACAACACACTAGGAGAAGATGACCTTTTAGTTATCAAGTTTTCCTTTATTAGACTGGTGATGAGAACGTTTCAAACAAGCTTGATGATGAGATTGTTTAACACAGACATTGGAATGGAACACTAGACCTATCACGACAGTTTAAACCGGTACTGATACGGAACGTTACTCTTATATGGTGGCAGTTTGAAACAGGTACTGAAAGATACGGAACGTTAGACCCGTATCACGATACTTTGAAATCGGTACAGATACGGAAGGCTAAACTTATAATCTTTTTTAAAATGCTCTTTTCATACATCCATAATTCTGAGCTGCAGTGGACAAACTAAGAAAAGTGTCGTGAAGAGACATATGTTGTTCATTTCATTTTGATAGCATTTTTAGGCCTATTGTATGCATAATATAGTTTTTGGATTTCATTAATTTTTACTATTGCAATGGATATTAGTAAACATGTTTTTGATGAAAAAATGTTTGTCAGTCAATTGTTCGGACAACAAAAACGTTTCTTCTTTGATTCATACTGTCTAGTCATGAACTGTTCCTGTTTGATTTCTATTATTTCATTATGAATTTCTGTTTGATTTCTATTGTTTCGTCATGAACTTTTATTGTTTGATTTCTATTGTTTCGTCATGAACAGTTATTGTTTGATATCTATTGTTTCGTCATGAACTTTTATTGTTTGATATCTATTGTTTCGTCATGAACATTTATTGTTTGATATCTATTGTTTCGTCATGAACTTTTATTGTTTGATTTTTTGTTTCATCATGAACTTTTATTGTTTGATATCTATTGTTTCGTCATGAACTTTTATTGTTTGATATCTATTGTTTCGTCATGAACTTTTCTTGTTTGATATCTGTTGTTTCGTCATGAACTTTTATTGTTTGATTTCTATTGTTTCATCATGAACTTTTATTGTTTGTTATCTATTGTTTCGTCATGAACTTTTCTTGTTTGATATCTATTGTTTCATCATGAACTTTTATTGTTTGTTATCTATTGTTTCGTCATGAACTTTTCTTGTTTGATATCTATTGTTTCATCATGAACTTTTATTGTTTGTTATCT